GCTTGCTTTCTCTCTTTCTCTCTCTCTCTCTTTCTGTCCCTCTCTGGTCAAATTTAAATAAATAAATAAATAAATAAATAAATAAATAAATAAATAAAGTTAAATAATTCTTTTAAACAAATAGAATCTCAATCACACTGGTAAAATGCAAGTTTGACCATATGCTCATAGATAGCTATTTGAGAACACACTCTTAAAGCTTCCTGGTAGAAGTACAGACTGATACAACTTGAAAACGTGTATCCCAATTTCAATGGATATGCTTATGGGTACAAATTAATCATTTATTGTGAGGCTGGCAGGGGGCTTGGTGGCTAAGGGGCACTGGACTCCCACATGGCCAACCACAGTTCAGGTCCCGGATCTGGCAGCTTGCTTTCTCACTTTCCCTCTCTCTCTCTTTCTGTTCCTCTCTGGTCACATTAAAATAAATAAATAGAGTTAAATAAAATACTTCTTTAAAAAATCATTTATTGCAGTATTTTTGGTCATTGCAAAAGATGAGGATCAACCTATATGTCCACCCATAGGAGGCTGGTTGTATAGATTATGGAATAGCCACACAATAGAATATTCCAATTATATGGCTATAAAGAATTCTTTCTATTCATTGATATGCAAAGATCTCTAGTACATATTTAGTAGAAAAAAGGTATGGAACAGTGTTTATAGTCTGTTATCTTTTACGAAAATGAGAAAACAGATTCATATATGCTTACATTTGCATAAGGACACTGTGGAAGGCTATACAAGTGACTAATACGTGGGTACTGCTTGGGGTGGGGGCAGGGATGGGTATTAATGAGATAGATGGAGGCAGGTGGAAGCAAGACTTCACTATATAACTTCATGTACTGCGCGTGCATTTGCCAGAGAGAGAGAGTGCATCCTCCAATGGGGCATGGCCACACCACAAGTCCTTCACCTCCCTTTTCCATCCTGTCAGGATTTGGGGCACACATGCCAAGTGTGTTTTTCTTTTCTTTTTTTTGGAGAGGTTTTTGCTGTAGGGCACGTGCGCTTGCCAGACAGACAGAGACAGAGAGACAGAAAGCGAGAAATCACCCCCCCCTAGGGGGATGGCCACACCGCAATCCCTTCTCCTCCATTCTCCTCTCGGGATCTTGGGCATGCATGCACATGTGCCCGGTATGAGTTTAAGCAACCGGGTCTGGGACTCGAACCACAGTCGACTATGTGGGAGCCCAGCGACATAGCCATTATATCAACTGCTGGTCCCGCCAAGTGTGTTTTTCAAGCCACTTGGGCCAGGATTGCAATTGGCCATGTGGGACCTAGCTCCTTATGCACAGAGCTTAACTGCTGCATTATGGAGCTGGCCCCAAGAGACCCATTTTCTATGAACTTTTTGAAGACTCTCCCCCACATCATCTATAAAAAAAAAAAAATATTAAATAACTAAAGGAAATTCTATCTGTAGCCATGGAATAGACTAGCATTAGAGAGGCTGGTCAATGACTGAACCCTGGAATGGAGCCTCCCAATGTTAAGGAGTTGGGAAGGAGGGAGAGAACTAGGCAAGAGAGCCCAAAGGAGGAGGAAAACCAAAGTTAAGTGTGAGCTTGTGGAAACTTGGGGACACAAATGTGTCAATGAGCAAGTGCTCAGTGCTGCTAAAAGGCCTAGTAACTGGACGAAGACTGGGGGACTGCCTTTAACAATAGCCATTTCAATGGATTGGTGAAAAGAGCTGATCAGGGTAAAATGAAAATGAAAGAGGCAAGGAGGTAGACACAATGAATTTGAGGTTTCGTGGGAAGTAGGAGGTAGTGAAAGTGGAGTGGCAAGCTGGGAAGGGATGTGACATCGACAGGGCTTTGAGGGGCTGGATAGGAGTGCAGCAATAACTTAACTGAACCCACATGGGAAAGGTCCTGGGTTCCCATCTTGGGAGCTTCCTGAGCACACTGAGCACACATGTGCGTGCCTGTGATCCAGGCTGACTGAGACTGGAGGTAGTCTGTAGCATGGAAACTCTGTTAGGGGTCCCCCCCTGCTTCTCTCCCCACCCTCAGAAGAAATAAGCTTTAAAACAAACAGGGCCTGGTGGTTAAGGGAGCCATATCCCACATGGTTGACCTGAGTTCAAGTCCCAGTCCCAGCAGTTCAAAAAATGTTCTGGGCCCATGTGCACCCATGCCCAAAATCCCAACAGGATGGAGAAATGGAGGAGAAGGGATTGAGGCATGACCATGCCACTTGAGGGGTGCTTTCTCTCGCTCCTTCTCTCTCTTTCTCTGGTGAGTGCATTACCCTCTAAGAATTAAAAAAGGAGAGGTGGGGGCAGAGGCATAGCCTGAGGAGGACTAGCAGGGGCTCTACCTTTCAGGTTGTGGGGTGGAGATGACCGCTGAGCGTACGAGGGAGCTGAGCGTACTTTTCCAAGTCGCTCTGTTACAGGCTCCCTGTCATGGTTGGCATAGCCTGTGGAAATAGACAAGAACTTGCCAGCCAGAAAAACAGAAAGAAAACTCAGGGAATTAGCAAGGGAAAAAGAAAAGAAGATAGCTTGCCTACCTCTCAGAGGAAGCAGAGGGACTCAGATCATGCAATGAAAGCAGAAGGCAGCTAATGCA